CAACTTCAGTTGTACATCTGTCAGTAGAAACAGGATGGTGTTGTTTATGGTTCATCAGCTGATTGGATCTTGGGTCTTTCTGGCTTAAAGGATAGTATTTCTCCTATCCTTTTCAGGATTTCAAGTGCCATGTCTTTCTTAAATAGTCAGAGTTATTGCTCCCCCTCTGCCAGTCATGAATACTCTACTTGCCTGCTACCTAATAGCCTACTCCACCACCCTGTGCCCAGGAGATTTCATATGTTTTGTGGTTTCACACAATCTAACAAGTGCCCCATCTTGCCTGATCCTTGTTAATATAACACATGGCAGAATACAGTGAAATTCGCATGTGAAGAAAATTAATGAATCTTCTCAACAAACCAGTTTTGATCTTTCAAACCCAACTAGAGCCAAAACAGAAGCCCTCTTACTCTCAGAGGCCCAACGTGATGCTTTCAGTCCCTGTGGAATTTAAAAAGGGAATGGAAGCTGGCAAAGAAATTTCTCAGCAAAGTTGTCTTCTTCTCTCTCCTAAATTTGCCAGTTTTCAAGAGCTCATCAGTGTGGGCAACAGGCTTGGGAAATAGAACCCTTAGATACAGATTAATTTCATCCTATAGTTCCCCCACAACCTGTCTCCTTACAAAATATGATGATGGACAGACCTAGAGAAGGTCTTTGCAGCCAGCCACCTTACTTGATGTATTCTCCATGGCAGGAAGGCAATCCTTAACCCCCCCCCCCAAAAAAAATGACAAAGGGATGAATGGTCTAATGATAAGTGCAGAAAAAGGCATGCAAAACCTTTCTCAACATACTGCTCTACTGGCTGCAACAGTGGAAGCCTCCAGTTTGGTTAACAAATACTGACTCAGCTTAGTATGGAAAACAAAACCTGGAGAGTTTTGTTCAAATGCTTAATCACTGACTTCAGTCAAATAGAGGTATTTAACAAGTTAAATTTGAAATATTTGAAATATTTCTAATATCTCCACTTCATCTAATTGCCCATAGAGAGTGATGTGTGTTACTTTATATAAAAGTGCAGGAACACAACAATATGCTTTCTGACCTGTTTTGGCTTACAGCCTTCAATCCCTGGCTTCTCCAGTCTACATCTCACATATCCTTGGGCGAGATACTAACCCCCATCGGATTAAGGATGTGTGTCGTGTTAGATAGAAAGCTCTTACGTAGAAAAAGAAGAGAAAAAAGTGCTTGTGTGAATGGGTAAATAAGGCAAGTTGTATAAAGTGCTTTGAGTGCTCAGGTAGAGTAGAAAACCACTATATAAGAACCAGTCCATTTACCATAACTATCTTTCCAACCTCCATATTTTCTGTAAATAGCAGAAAGGCATCTATAAAATATGATTGTTATGATCTTGGCTCACAGGTCTTTGTCTCGTGAAGGAAAAAAAAGAGCAAAAAAAGAAAAAAACCCCCAAAGAAAAACATAAGTGAGCAAATATGGAACATAGAGATCGAGACCTAGAATCATTAGTGGTAAGCATGATATTGCTTTTCTGGCCCAATTTGTAATCTTAAGACATTAGCTTATGAACACCTAATTTATAATTATCTGGAAAGTAAATGTCTTTTCAAATAATTCCTTTTAGAAGGGACAGCTATTCAAGATTCTCAGTGTCAAGAGCAGGGACATAGCACCTGTCAGGGCACAAGGGTAGAGTGTAGAGAAGGGAAGGTTAAGGGCTGGGTGTATTTCTTTCAAGCCCTTTACTTGAACCCACGCTTTAATTTCAATCAGCAGTAGATTCTAAAAACTTCATATATAAAATCATGAATGAAACCTGCCAAAGAAGCTCAAATTTTGCTGACTTTCTCCATAACCTCCATAAGTTTTTTTTTCTCTTTCCCCTAGAAGTTGTACTTCTACCACCATCTTTGCTCTTGGGGAATTTTTCTACAGACTCCAACTTAGGTTTCTTTCAGTGTCATGTCTGTTCCTTAAGATTTCTTTGGTTGGTGTACTTGTACCTTGTCTGGAAGCAGATCACGCACTGTGTTGCCGCCACTTTGCATACTTACTCATGAAATAAAGCGGGAACCTTAAAGAAGAGTGCAATGTTTAAGTTAAGAGAACAAAATCATTTTTACACTTAATTTACTTTTGTTTTCTTTAGATAGGATCCAGATTAACACTCAAAAGACCCTCATAAGATTAGTGGATGTATTAATCATGTAAGCTGAAGTTATGTACTTTTAATGTATTATTACTGTTTAAGGCATACATGGTAATAGTTGTCGTTAGTATATAAATTATTAAATGGTTCTTGGATACGGGCTTGGGAAATAGAACCCTTAGATACAGATTAATTTCATCCTATAGTTCCCCCACAACCTGTCTCCTTACGAAATATGATGATGGACAGACCTAGAGAAGGTCTTTGCAGCCAGCCACCTTACTTGATGTATTCTCCATGGCAGGAAGGCAA